AACATGGATTGAAATGAATTGATCAGGTCAAGGGAAAATGGGTGTGGGACTTTTAGCGTAAGAGAGGTATGTAAGAGAACAGAGGTGGGCTGGCCCCATGGAGCAGTGAAGAGGGAAACCTTTGTTTCCATCCAGATGATTCTGTACACGGCCTCCTATTAAATGCAATGAGGCTGCAAATGGAGTTTATCTTGCAGGGGCGCTGCATTGAATTTATGAACTACAGTATATGTCATGTTTTACGAATGCACAAGAAGGATACCTGCCATAAAAGCAAACCAAAGGGTCATAATGTAGTTAAATACATCATCAGGGACACAGACAGGGGCATACACTGAAAGAGGGCCCCAGATGGGGTGAATAGGAGGGGGGAAGAAGAAGGGAGGACTCATGTTCTGTGACTTGCAGGACAGGTATTCTGGGGATCACAGGTGGAGTGCTTTCCCCAGGAGCCTGGCCACAGTTGAAACAAAGGTGGGCGAGCTTAGAGTGAAGATTCAAAGAGAAGCAGCTCATTGTTCAGTGAACCTGGCATGTGCCGGAAAGCAGGGACAGTGCTAAGGGGTCAAAGCCCCTTTGAGCCTCCAGGTCAGCACCTCTAGGCATTCACATCTTTGTCCCTCCCCTGTTGAGTCAAGGTTAACCTGTGTCACCAGTAGTATACTATGGAAATGACCGTAGGTGACTTCCAAAGCGGCCTTGGACTCTTGCTCCAGGGAAAGCCAAGTGCCATGCTTTTAAGATGCTCAAGGAGTTCTGCAGGAGGCCCATGTGCAGAGGGAAGCAGGTCACACCCAGCAGCCAGTGTGAGCATTTAGCCACCTGGCCACTTCCCTGGGGAAGCAGGATCCTCAGCCCCAGTCACACCCTCAGAAGGTGGCAGCCTGAGCTGACATTTTGGCTGCAACTCACGAGGGAACTCCAAGCCAGAAAAAGGAGTAGAGAGCCGTGTGCACTCTGGACAAGATTTGACGTCAGATGTTGCTATGAGACGTGCACTTTCAAAACTCTGGAGTCTGCACAGGATGGTCATTTGAACTTGGCCCCATTTATCCACATGAAACAGGAGAATAGCATTTTAATCTACCTTATCACATAGGAATGCCATGACAACATGTAAGGAAAGTGCTGAACTCTACGAATGTATGATTATTTAAAAAAAAATAACGAGAAACAGTGATTGCATGTGTGGGTCTGACTGATTTCATGCAGCTAGAAATCAACCAGAGAAGTAAATTAGGGGCAAGTAAGGGTCCCATTTAAAGACTGAGGTTCTGTCTAGCCAAACAGTGCTTATCCCTGCCCTTCTGTTTTGATCAATCGAGTAGAAGCAACAAAGAGGAGCTTATGAAATCATCTGAAAACAAAACAACAGGGCATGAGTAACAATAGAGTGGACTAAAATTTCATTAGAGGGAAAAGAACTCCCAAGGGCTTATAATTTTGAGATGATCATATTCAGGGCAGATGGTAGGACTTTAAGGTCAGAGCTTTTTTTTTTTTTTTTTAACTTTCTTAGTTTTTTTTATTTTATATGTATTTTTTACGTCATTTTCCATTTTTGCACAATGTATGCATTTTCATCTTGGTTATAGTGCCCAGACAATTCCCCCTCCCCTTGTTTTGATTCTATTCCCTCCCACCCCCCCCACTGTGTGTCTCTGGTTTGAACTTTTTGAAACCTAAAAGTAGTGATACCTTTGAAGTTTCCTTAAAAACTGTTGAAGTAGGGCCTCCCTGGTGACGCAAGGGGTTAAGCACCACAGTATGAAGCAATCTGCAGCCTCTGCAGCACGAGTTCAATCCCCTGCCAGCCAGGGAGCAACCCACGTGGTGCAGCAGACTTCTCTTGTCTCGCCTGCTGCTCCCCTTAGCAGTGTACTTTGGTCAGTCTGCCTGTTCTGTTCCCCACTCTGTCTCTGATGAATCCTCTCACCTCCTGCATCTCTGACCTGTAACTCAGCTCTTGTATGCATAAATAGTCAATCTTTAAAAAAAAAAAAAAAGACTGTTGAAGTAAACACTCTCAAATTTGTATTCAAATTAGAATCCATAAATGTCACACCCATAAATGTCAGTAATTTCATTTAGTATCTACCAGCCATGGCTGACTGCTCCGAGGCAGTCATCCTAATTTTGTATTGTTCTTTTCTCTGAAGTTGCTTGAATCCATCAAGTGCTGGGAGGCAGGTGAATTGCATGCATTCATGAGAAAGGAAGGAAACTTCCCTGAGCCTTCCCTGTGTATTTCTGCGTATTCATTATGTGATAATTTTATTAAAGCAAAATTGAAGAGCAAGATTCTGAAAGTCTTGATGGAGAGTTAAAGACACCAGGGTCAGTACAGTGTGACCTTGTATATTACCACTTCTCTTTTCTTCCTCTCTCCACCCCCCACCTCTCACCCAAAAAGCAGAAAATCATCCTACCCCACCTTCAGGCTACCCCGTCCACGTCCACGGCTAGCCTTCTGGTCCACCCACAGCCTTCTTTTGCCTGGATGATAAGAACCTGCTTATTGGTTGTCCTGCTTCCACCAGCTCAGCTGCAAATCTCGTTTGTGTCTCTGCTCTTACCAGAGTCTTCCCAACTCCCCCACATACTCTCAGAGCAAATGTGCAAGTCCCTCCAGGCCTGTCAAGTCCTTGCCACCACCTACCTCTCACCTCTCTTGATGACGGGCTGCTGAGTTTTAGTTTTAGGGGCTGATTTAGTCACACCTATCCCCGTGCCTACAGCAGTGTCAGGCCGGTGGTAAATAACCAATATTTGTTGCGTGAACAAATGAATGACTATTAAGGTATCCTTATTTCCTGAAAGTGACTGTGCCTTGGGTACTGGCATGGCCTCTTTGGGGTGGCTGATAGGAAATAAAGGGCAATATCCATTCTCCCCTCTCAGTACTAGTCAGAAGTGATTGGCAACCTGGGCGAGAAATCCTGCTCCAATTTAGCAAAAGGGAATTGACTCTCTTCCAGAATGAAACTTCAGGAACCTTCAGGAAGCAGGAGATGAAGCTGGGGCCCAGGTCTCATGCAGCAGCCACTCTTTTTCTCCCCGTTCAACCACTTTCCTTGTGTTGGCTTCCTTCTCTCCTGGTGGTGTCCCAGTGCTGAAGCCAGACAGTTCCCTCTTTGGCAACTGGAGCCTTTCCTGTGGCTGCCGCAAGAAAGGAGGGCCAAGGAGGGGCTTGGCACTACAGAAATGTGTCCCTTCCCAGCTCCGGAGCCTAAAAGCCCAGATCAGTTACCCCTGATCAGATCCAGAAGCCCACAGGGCGGTGCTCCTCCAGAGGCCCTGGGAGGCTCTGTTCCTGTCTTCCAGGCTCTAGCCAGGCCAGCGCTCCACCCACCTCCACCTCTGGGGTCACACCCTCTCACCAACCTCCTCCTCCTTAGAAGGATGCGGGATGGCATTTAGGGCCACCCCATAAGCCAGTTCATCTCTCCACCTCTAGAAGCTTAACAACCTCATTTATAATCACCCCCCCCCCAACGTAAGGTTGCATTTGCTGTTTCCAGGAATTAAGGCAAAGGTATATTTTAGGAGGTAAGGGGACATATTTCAAGCTACCTGGGCAGGCATCTTTCCACATCAGAGGGAGAGAGAGAGAGAGAGAAAAGACTTCTGCCTGCCCCACTTACAAGGCCTGCCTCTCACTGTCCAGGCTTAGGCCCCTATGACCCTTGGACCAACTCAGGGGGCAGAAGGGCCTGGGAGGGAGCAGATCAACCCCGGGTTGTTATTCCTGAAGAAGAGCAGGTGGGGTCTGGGCAGCAGGAAGTGCCTTAAATGGCAGTGGGAAACCCGGCACATGAGGGAGTAATGGAAGTGTGTGCTTAAACGCTCAAGACCTTGCAAGGACAGGGACTCGGAGGCACAGAGCTTGCAAGAGGAAGGAAGGGGGAAACCTCCTTGGGAAGCAAGAGGAAATTTGCCCTCAAGGAGCTGTCTCCAGGGGAAGACCCGCCTGGCAGGGCTCCACAGCCTGTGTGTCCTTTCAGAAAAGAGAGAGTTTTTCTCTTCTCCATCGGGCATTTATCCAACCTTTCCTCTTTACCGAACAGCACACATCTGCCCAAGCTCTGGTTGTCACCAAGGAGACAGCTTTAGGTTGTGAACTCCAACCATTTCAGCTCTGAGCGGGATCAGGGCGCAGGGGTCCGGCTCACCTCCAGGGATGCTGCTTCCAGCGCCAGGAGCTGGTCCCCAGCAGGTGGGAGTCCACCAGAGGGACACCCTAAGCTGTAGCAACGTGCCTGAAATCGGAGGGAGCGAGGCCAGCCATGTCCTCCACTAGAGCTCTCGGGCGTCCTCAGAGACGCTTCCTTCGAAATTCGGTCACGCGTTGCACAGAAATGACACCAGGCGCGACAGTGGCTCGGGACACAAAGCCCCTCTCCCGAGCGCGCGTGCGGGGCGAGCTTCGGGAACCCCCGCAATCGCGCGCAGATAGAGGCGAGGGTCTCGGCCGGGTCCCGACGTTGACACCAACGGTGTTTACTTAAGGGGGCGAGGGCGTTCCTGACCTTGGCCGCGACTGGGCGCGAGTCAGAAAACCGGAGGTTCCCAGGCCCTTTCACCCGCCCACCATCAGCGAATTTCGAGTCTCCAAGCGGGATTCCGGGGTGCCCAGACACCCGGGGCCCCGGGACCTCGCGCAAGTCCCCGAACCCGGTCCTCTTACTCTTCTCCCCAACCCCCAGCTTCTGGCAGCTGTCCCCCCAACCTTTCACCCCGCGCCCCGTCCCCCGCGCCGACGGCAGGGGGCGCCGGCGCGCGGCTAAAAGGCGAGGCGCGCGGCGCGAGGTCTCAGTGCAGAGCAGCCGCGGCGCGGGCGGGGACCGAGCCGCGCGGGGTCGGGGTGTTGCCGGCGAGGCGCGGGCGCGAACCCTCCCGGACCGCGGGGACCCGACGGCGGCGCCGCAGCGCTCCCGACTCCAGCCCAGCGCCCCCCGCCAGCCGCCCCCTCCCCGCCCGCCGCGCACCCCGGGCTCCCGATGGCGCCCGAGGCTGGGGCGCCCCCGCTCGCCCGGGGTCCTCTGCCCTGGGCGGCGCTGCTGCTCCTGGCCGCGCTGCTGCCGGCCGCCTCCTCGGCGGGGGCTCCAGGTAGGCGCAGCCCGGGCGCGGCTGCCCGGCTCTCGGCGCCTGCTTCTCTGTCCCCCCTCCACGCACCGCTCACCCCGCCTGTCGCTCCGGGGTCCACCGCCCCGTTCGCTCTGTGCTCGCTCCGTGTCGTGTCACTAACCCGGGCGTCCTCATCGTTCGCGAATCGGGGTGCGGAGGGAGGGCGGGGGGCGCGGGCTCTGGGCCCTTGGCGCCTTTTGCGCCGGAGGCGGACGAGGGGGGCGCCGTCGGTGCCAGGGGACCCCAGCGCCCCGAGTGTCAGCTTTGCCGTCCAACCCGCGGCAGTCGGGAGACTCGAGCGGTCTGAGTTTCCGGGGAGACTCAGGCAAAACTTAAGAAATAATAATAAAAGGAATAAGAGCGACCCCGCGGGGGTGAGGGTGGGGTGACTTTCTTTCCCAGATTTCCTGGCGGCGCGGCTCAGGTGGGCAAGCTGCTTTCCTCCAGCTCACCTGCCCGGAGGCAGGGGTGCCCTTGGAGGGCGGCATCCGGGAGGGCAGAGAGGCGGGACGTCTCCAGAAGCGCCCTGGGAAAGCTGCGAGCCGCGCGGGGCGCCCGGGCACCTGGGCGCGGGGAGCAGCCGCGCGCTACCAGGCGGGCGCGGGGATGGGAACTTCGGGGCCAGGGCGGGGAGGAGACAATGGTCCAGAGCAGGGGGAGAGGGACGCGCCAGAGCTGGGTCCCGAGGAGCCGGGACGGATGCTTTCGTGGAGGCTGAAACATGAGCAAGCTTTTCAGAAAATGCCAACGTGCTGTGGTCAGATTTCTTGTTCGTTTCCCTTGCGGACAGGGCTGCGGTGGGTTTCCATCGCCGAGCCGCCCCCCACCCCCACCCCTCACCCTTCACCCCCACCCCTGCAGGCATTTACACACTCGAAACGATGTGGCTTTTGTTTATGTCATTATTTTACAGGGACCTAAGAAGTGGACTTTCTTGTTGTTGTGAGAACTCACTCTCAGCCGGGCTGCTAAAATTCAGATGCGATTCCTAGATTCCTTCCAGGTCCCTAGGGTGCCATTTGGTGCTTCTGTTGCGCTCACCACAGGGAAAGGGAAACGCTGGGAGATTTTGCCTTGTGACTCCTTGGCGGTTGCTTCCCGGGTGCCAAATTCCACTTTTTTTTGTAGAAGGCAGCGCCAACTGTAGGTTTTGTTTTCCTGCCTGTTAGCATTCTCTAGGAAAGCATTCACTGAATATTTTGACAAGAATAAAACTATTCTAGAGCCTTTCAACTTCCCCACCTACAGCCCATGCCCTTTATTTTTTCTCTAAATCAAAATGTTCTGAGTGTTGAAAGAGTTTTTGTTTAGGAAAACGGACTGAACCAGGAACCAGCCAGAAGCTGGCTTCATGGTAGTTAGGGCTGTGATGCTGCCAGGTTCCTCGCCACCTGCCTGTGGGCTGCCTCAGAGTGTGTGTGAAGTCAGGGTTGCTGCGATCGCTCCCCAGTCTGTGTCCCGTGCGCTCTTCCTCCCCTTGCCTGCTGCTCTGTAAATCACTGAGCTGTGGAATGTTGGCTTTGGGAGGCTGCTGGCATTTCTCTCCACTGTGTTGACGTGGGATTTGCAGTAAAATGATGACCAGACTAGAAACGGATAAAGGAGGGAAGCCCCCCATTTTGCAGTGAACATCTACCACAGTTACATGAAATGAAAAAGGAAAGAGACAGACATAACAACCTGTGGACACCCTCTCCCACCCCACTCCCCACCCCACATGCCATGGGGGAAATCAGGGGTGCTTGATTTGTTCCATCTGCTCCTGGGAAGGTTTACTCAGTCTTGCCCTACATAGCTACAACCATTGCTATGCACCGGTCCTGCAGGTCTGATGTCAAGGCCATGGGCAGATCACACTGGCTTGAGATGAATTAAGGCATGGACCTAACCAGCTGCTGAAGTCAGCCCCCCAATACCCAACCTTCACTGCCAGAATCTGTATAATGAAATCATCCAAAGGCACTTTAACAATAATAGGCCACCAAAGCCAGAGGAACTAACCTTAAAACAGGTGCTTTGTAGGGAATGTTGAAGAGCTAATTAAACCCTTCCAATTGGCGATCATTAAAATGCAAAACAAAATAAGCCAGACATTCCATCCCAACCCCCAACACCCCTCCCTCCATGGTCAAGTATGCCACCATTAAAATGTTGTTGGCGATGGCCAGTTCTGAGAGGATACATGTTTTCCACAAACATGTGGACACACACATTTCTAGTGATAATTTTGGGTGGGTGGGGGTTTAATTTTTTTCTTCAAAGCTTAAAAATCCTTTGAGGGAATCCAAAGGTCAAAATTGGTCTCAAAGTAATCCTAGGGTACTGTTTGCTTTTCTAAACATTGTGATTACTTAGTTGACACATCCAGTGAAGGTGCAAATGTATGGTGGGTCAAAGTGTGGGTATTTTAGCATGAATCCAGGCCTGGAACCACAAGGAACTTGCCATCACGGAATGTTTCCAGCCTTTGAAGTTTAGAAATGGTGCAGCAATTTCTATTTAGAATGTCTTTGGTGACTTTTTCTTGACCTTTTCTTTGGTTTCTCTGTATTCCACATAGAAGTGAGACCATCCAGAATTTATCTTTTTCCTTCTGACTTCTTTCAGCCAGCATCATCCCTTCCAGCTCCATGGGGACCATGATGTTGTAAGAAAAAAAATCAATTAAAAAGAAATAAAAAATAAATTATACAACTAAAAAAATACAGAAATAATATGAATAAAAATCATTTTCTTAAAAATCAAAGAATGTCCTTGGTGCAACAATAAAAATTATTAATTATTAGATGTCTGCCCTCGAATGTGTGTCTTCTCAGTATTCTCTGTGAAGAAATGAGAACACAGAAAGCACTGGACTGACCCCCGAGGATGGTGGCAGAGCTGAGGGAAAGCACGCGTGTGCTAGTTTGAGTTGTGAGCTGAACTGGCTGCCTTCCTTCTGGGGTGTCATGTCTACCAGAACCACTACAGACAAGCTGTAGTTATTCTGACTTTGGCCTTTGGCAGGCATTTTAAAGAACAAAGGAAGCCTGCCAGTTCTAGTAAAATATCTGCTAGTCTGTGTTGCCAGTGATAACATTTGAGCTTTCAAATGAAAATTAGAATTTTGCCAAGTTTTCTCCAACTTCATAAGCTTGACAGTTTCCCAATACTTAAAAACAGGATCATTGGGGCTATAAATGAATGTGATTTTCAAACACTGTGGTTTAAAACATGTCAGCATTTTGATTATCCCCCAAATCAAGTGAAATAGTAAATGCAAGCTATCACTGCTCAGTGTTATGAAATCTCACCCAGCAGACAACCCATCCAAATGCAAGACAGCCCAGAGGATTTTTAATGTAATAAAATGAGACCAGTTCATCACATGGTTTCAGATTCTACACTGCAGTGAACTTTTAAGTAACTCCTACTTGATGAGTTTTGGTGTAGTATCAAAGATTTTCCAAAATTATCCAAAGCAATTATTAAAATACTTTTCCAATTACACATTTGTATGAGGCAGGATTTTCCTCAGGTGCTTTAACCAGAACAACTTCCTGCAAAGACCAGCATGAGCTGATAGGAGATCCTGTTGTCTTTTATTAAAGACATTTGCCAAAACATAAAATGCTACTCTTCTCACTATTTCTTCTCGTGTTAGAAACCAATTTCTTTTTTCCATAAAAGGCTTTATTGTGCCAACACTTAATAATTTACTCTTATTATTTTTAAAAGCACTCATAAATACATAATCCACCCTCTTCTTAGTTTTAACTTCTGGCACCAATAGATAAAACCTACACAAATATAACCCCATGAGATCCTCATTATTTTAAGAGCAGAAAGGAATCCAGAGAACAAAAGGTTTGATAATTCCTGGAATCAAGTCTCTGCACTGAGTCTCTGCACTGTGTGACGTTGGGCCAGTTAGTCAGTCTCTGTCAAGGGACTGGAAAGATCTGGTAGGGGCTGTCCTGTGGCCCAGCCACCTCCAGTTCAGTAGGACTCCCCTCTTCTGTCTTCTTTAACAGGAATATACCCTTTCCTTTTGTCCTGTGCACTGAAGCCCAGCCAGATAAAAGACCTGGTTTATACATCCACTGAGTGGGCAGTTCCCTACCATGAAACTAGAGGTTGTAATAGAATTGCAGTGACAATTCATTTCCCCAGAAATTTGTCAGATGATTTGAGAGCATCGTCCATATGTCTTACCAAGACCACTCATATCTCTATTGAGGTGGTACAGGCCATTCCCAGACCAGCAGGCAGGGAGGGAGGGGTGGAAGGGAGTGTTTGTTTCCTATTGCTGTAAAACACACATATTATTCTGTAGTCCGGGAGGGCACTGGTCTGAGGTGGGTTTTCTGGGCTAGCACCAAGGGTGAGTCCCTTCTGCAGGCCCCAAAGGAGCACCCTGCCCTCACCTTTTGTGACTCCTAGAGGAGCCACGTGTCTTCCCACGCGGCACACTCAGCCCTGACCTTGCATTGCCTTCTCTGACTCTGACCTCCCGTCGCCCTCTTGCACTTATGACCACCTTTTGGATGGCACTGGACCTTGGGAATAACCCAGGCCCATCTCCTTTTCTCCAGATCCTTAACTTAATCACATCTGCAAAGCCCTTTTGCCACAGAATGGAACATCTTTGCAGGTTCCAGGGATTAGGGTGTGACCATTATTCTGTCCACTAGGGTGTAAAGGCCTACATTTCAGGAAGGAGCGACCTCACCCAACTGTTCCCCATGGGTCCCAGCCAGGGATTTCTTGAGTTAACATCAGCCCTCTGCTTACCTAGAGCTTTATTTCAGTTAGAAAATATAGAGGTGTGTAAAGGCATAAAAATAAAGGTGAGAAAAGCATACATATTCCCTTGTAAGACCACATAATACTAGTTGGGAGACTTTAGAAACTGAAATCTTGGGTGCCTTCGGGTGGAACCAGCCACCTGGGGGTGGAGGTGATACTGCTTCATTATTTTTTCTACCAATTGGGGTAGATAC